CCAGCAACCTAAGGATCCCCATGGGCCTAGACTGTACCTCTACAGTCCTCCACTCTACCCACTGAGCTGGGATGGTTAAGGAAACAATAATTTGGTCACAGGCTGGCAGAGGGTAGATTCAGACTAGAAATCAGGAGACGCTACTTCACAGTCAGGGCGGCTAGGACCTGGAGCCAACTTCCAAGGGAAGTGGTGCTGGCTCCTACCCTAGGGGTCTTCAAGAGGAGGCTGGACATTTACCTGGCAGGGGGTATTTAAGCCTGGTTTTTTCTCCTTCCCATGGCATGGAGTCAGACTTGATGATCTGCTCAGGTCCCTTCTGACTCGACCAACTATGAAACTATGAAACTTTATGATATTGAGTTCATTATACTGCAGCTCTATTGTATATTGATTACATTTTTGCTTCATTTGCTTAACATGTAATAGGGTTTATTAGGTCTTTCCAAGTATTGTTCTTGGTAAAAGAAAACAAGGAGAAGCAAAACACTTTGGGGCTAGATACCGAGCTAGTGTAAATCAGTGTAGATTCAGTGAAGCCAGTAGGCCTATGTGGGTTTATACCAGCTGAGAACTGGTTCATGAGAAAAATGATGGCAACACAATGAACAAGGCCAATGGGAGGTATGTTGAGATTGGGGGTGGGTGAGATGGATTTAGTAGAAAGGAAAGGACCAAAGTGTATGAAAAAAATGAATCTAATATCTTCCCTTAGCTTTCTTATATTCAAGCCCAGTTTATATTGTAATTCCATTTTTAGCACCTAACTCTATGATTGTCCTTGTTAATGTTAAATAGATCGCTAGCCAACAAAGGCACAATTCAGTGAATATCAGTGCATGGTCATCAAAAAAATTAAAATAAAAAAGCCAGGACAGACAATAAAAGCGTTATTATTTAAATAAAGTGTTGTTCAAGGTTAGAACATTATTCATGTTCCTTTGAGTAAACTTTATTTGACACTTGTATTTTTTTTTGGAGATACAGTAAAGGGGCTATTCAGTGTACAGTATCAGAACTGAGCATCTTGACCACTAATAGGCTATTGAAAATAATGGAACTACTCATAGAATAAGATACTACTTGGTATGTTTGAATGCACCAAAGATTCCAAGAAAAATAGGAAAATTCCTGGTAAATATTGTCATGAGTGTCTCTAGAAATAAATTGTACCTCTGACAGATAGTTGAGTACATCAAGAGAGTAGTACTGATTAAAGCTGAAGGGAAAAATAGTCACTAATCATGTTTTAAAATATTTTTATAAATCCTGCATTTTTCTCAGGGCAGAATTGCTAACAGATGTTGTGTGGGTTATTTTAAAGATCATAAGAATATCATATAGGTCTGTACCATGCTTCTAATCTGGATGCCTTATTATATAAGATTATCATTTTTGACTCCATTTTAAGCCCTTTATCCAGTGGAAAAGCCAGGCTCTTAAACCAAAGGTTTCCTAGAAAGAATTGTCAGTACCACTGACTGATTAATACAGTAGGCAAGGGAATTTGAAAATGATCCTTTATTTAATACACTGTCTTCATGGGCCCTGTCTCCTTTATATGCTGCAGCATGTAAATCCTAATATTTCTAGTGAAGAATGTAGTGACTTGTTCCTTATGCTTTTGTAGACGTTCATGTTCCCTTGAGAAGTTTATAAAGACTGGCTTTAGCAATGTAGACTACAAATAACCCTAACCATTTCTAGGATAGTCAAAATGTACTTCTAATATCTCTTTAAGAAGGATGACAGTCCTACTGTATAGTGCCACTTATTGTCATTCTGAGGTGCCATTAGTAAGTAACCTTCACATTTTCTTTGTGAAGAGTTGAATCTATGACACTAAGTGGTGGATAGGGTTTTAGCTACACAGCTCCTATTAACTTTAATGAGAGTCACATGACTAAAAGCTTGTCCATTGCTTTGAAAAATGTAGGGGTCAGTCTTAGAAACAAAAGGAAGTAAAGATTAGAACCAACAGGATCCAGAATGTAAAATAAGAGATTGTTCAGAATTATATCCTGCTGCTGCCTCTGCCTTGAGTAGAAGTTTCTCTGTTGAGATTTGAGGAATCAAGTCTTTAGGGAGATACAGAAACAAGTCATGCTTGTTAAAGCAATCAATCTAGGCATTGCTGCTGAATAATGAAATGATTGGACACTAATGACTTTCCAAATTTGAGGAAAATATAAAAGGATAGAGGACAGAAGGTTAAAGAAAGATAATAGTTAAATAAGTGATATTTAAAATCCATCCCCATTCTGAGCATCCCTTTGCAGTGCTCCTTGTACAAGAACTAACTACAGTCTCACTGCTTAAAAAAGGATAAAATGCACCAAGAGAGCTGTCATTTAATTTCCTACTCTAATCACCCAGAGGAAATTCAGCAAAAAAAGAAGTTTTAGGTGTTTCATAAGAGATCTACGGAGAGGGAGAGTTGTTATGTAGATTTTAGGTTTTCTTGGGGGGTTTTTTGTATGTTCTTATGTACCTACTTGTCTACATAGTCAGGGATCTCTGCCTTTCTTGTTCTGTTTATTGTGTACTGTTATCTCTTGTTTTCAGTGCTGTAAATTAAAATTATCATGGTCAAAAGAAACATGGTAACTGTCAGGTTAAGTCCCTTAGAGTGAAAGCCTTACTTTCTCTCCAGCTGGGTAAAAATGATGGAACAATGTTAAGGGGCTGTGAAACCCTAGATAAAGTGAGTGATGATGGTGTGGATACTATGGAAGACAGGCAAAGCATTTCAGGGGCAAGGATACATCACATAAGATGGCATAGGTTCTGGACAGTGATACATCCACAGAGAGTAGAAGATGCTGAAGTCATTCAAATGAGCTTTGCAAGGATATCTAAATTATGCCAAGAGCATTGCCAACCCTGGAGCAATTCAGAGTCAAAAGAGTTAAAAAATTATGTAAAACTGTTTTAGACCCATTTTCCCCAAGGCTGAATTCTATGCAGTGCAAATTGGAGATGTGGTACAGTTTTCTGCTGCAATGCTTTGCAGTGTTCCACATGAAAACAAATAGGTCTCATCCTATTGAATACAGAAACTTTTACTGAAGCAGCTTAAATTACAACATAATTTTGGGGCTAACAGGTAACTTTCTGATAGAGATTTATTATCCAGGAGTTTTAGCTGTTCTGGGGGTGTAATTAGTGGTGTTCCATGGAGTTATCCCCATGAGACATTTCAAGGAAAATGGAAAATCATTTTTGTCTAAATTAAAAAAAGAAAAGCCATAGCTTTGAAAACCACTGTTTCCTCAGAGCACTAACATCCTTTAATTCGGAAATGCTGCTGTAATGTCTTTATCAGCCTTTGTTTCAGGCTCTTTGTGCTGTCAGGTTAGACTTCATCTCTATTAATGCACATTTTATCTTCCCTGATAATCAGAAATTTAAATACACTGTTGGAAGTACACTCTGTGACACCACATCTCATTGGGGAAGGGCTGACTCTGTCCACAGTAATAAGATAGGTCCAATAGGTTCATTTCTCCCCCTTCCTACCACTCTCCCCTAACACACCTATTATGTTGTGGTCTGAATAAGCTGGTATCATCCTAGGACTGGTGAATCTTCAACTGCCTACTTAGGGCAACTTCATGGCCAAAGGAGCCAAACATGGGGCCAGAGCCTGTCACATAGGGTAGGGACAGAAGTTACACATAAACAGGTTTAAGTGATCAGAAACTGGTTTATCCTGTAACAGAACAGAAGTTCTGTGCACATAAACCAGTTTCAAAATGGCTGAAACTGGTTTATGAAAAACCTGCCTGAATGTAGTTATCAGACTTAACTTATTTGGGTCAAACCAGTTTATGAAACTTCTGTCCCAGACTCCTTCCTAGTCCAAGTTAAATCACAGTCCCTAAGCATCCCAGCATACTTTCCAGCCCAGCCCTGTCTGTTGGGGGGTGCGGGGCAGGGACTGCCCCACCAGGCAAACCCTGGCTGGGGTCTGGGGCCAGTGAGGAGGATTCTGGACTGCAAATCCCAGAGACCTGAGGGGCAGCAGGAAGAGGAAGCAAACACAGCCTATGCTGATTATGTGCCAGAGAGCTGTGGTCTAGCACCCCTTAGTGCCTGGCCTGAGTTACTGCAGGCATGTGGCTGCAAAAAGTAAATGTCTGTTCACTTGTTAGTCAATTTAATCTGTGCAGTTTTTAAACTAACCTGCAAAGACTGAATCAATTCAGCCTTGGGCTTTTTTAATGTTTGTACTTAGCCATAAGGCTCAGAGGGTAGTTACATGCATCTTTTTTTCTGTACTCTCACAGTTGAAGTGAATTAGAGAATACGGTCTATACCATGGATGATTTTAGGAGATTTAACTAGAGGCCTTGAAAACCTTGCTTAAAGCTATCACTTATAACTATAGAATAAAATGGAGAGAGCCTCCCTCCCTGCCCCCTCCACAACAGACCTATATTGTAATTGCAGTTGTGCAGTTGTAGAGAATGGTTTTCAGTGGTCATGACATTTGCACCCACTAGCATCCAGTTCAGAATCACAGAAATTCCACTTCCAGGAAAATGTCATTCATGGGGGTTTTTTTGAATTGTATTCAGAAAATTAAACTATGTACCTGATTATGGACTGGTACCATTTCATTTTTTGTTAATCTCAACAAACTCTTGGAAGTCACTTTTTTGTCAGAATAATTGTGTAGCATATGTAATTGTATAGTACTTCCCTGATTAGACTGTAATAGTAGGTGTTCCCAGTAACTCAGTGAGAGACTGTGAAATCCCTTTGTCTAAGTGTTGTAAAGACAATATAACCTGTAGCTATGTAGGACTCTTCTGTATATAAACAGATGGTTTCATTTTACAGTGGCTACTTGCCCTTCAATTTTACAAGTGTTAAATTTTAGTCATAATTCTTGTATTTAATTCAAAGGTCCTATCCCACCTGAGAAACCAATGATTATGTTTAATAAGCTCTGTGTCAAAAGGTTTAGGAGGTGTGTTTTTTTTTCTTTCACACAGAAATACTGAATGGAGGAGTATACGTTGGCCAGAACAAATTTCTTTGCTATGCAGACACTATTCATTGGCAAGACATTGTGCGTAACCCTTGGGCCTCCAACTTCACTTTGGTTCCAACAAATGGCAGCTCAGAATGTAAGTACTTATGTTATTTCTACTTTGCTGTTAGTACATTGTGCAATTATATGAATACAGTCCCCAAAATTCTGTGGACTCTGTTGTAGAAGACTAATTGCAAGTTCCCCATCCTTACGGTGAAGTCTTTAAAAATCCATTAACCTAAAGAAAAAAAGAAAAAGAAACAAATAAAGAAAACAAAAACTATCTAGAGGCTAATTTTTTTGCTCATCATATTTTTCCTTGCTTCTATTTCTTTCAAATGACATAGTCATGAAAACAGAAACTTTACTGTTAGGATTTCATTTCTTCATGTGGCTTATTTGCTGCCTTAAGTCAGTCCTTTGTGGCTTGGGACAGATATTCAAAAAGCCTGAGCCTGAATTGATTCATTCTTTGCAGGTTAATTTAACCTGGCTAGGCTGAACCAGTTTTCAACCATACAGACATTCCCTCTGGACTGAAGAAATTCAGGCACATACCTGCAGGAGGGTCAGGCTAGAAGCCAAGGGGCACTAGAGCAGCACTCCCTTCCCTCCCATAGTACTGAGCTGGTGGGAGGCCCTGGCAGGATACTCTGATTGTGGAGCAGGGAGGGAGCAAGCAGGGAGTTGATAACATAGCATCTAGCACCCCACCGAGAAAACAAAAGCCTCTCTCATTAATTCAAGTTCTTCTTAAACAACTTTTTTCAAGCAAGGAATGGAGGGACATTACCAGCTACCTGTTGATTAGTTCCAAAAAGCCCTAAGTGGACACTGTCCTGTCTGCCTTTGTCCTGTCTGCCTTACACAGACACCTCTCAGCATTCGCTGGCGTATCACGTGCTGGGTATGGTCTATGCTGTGGGAGAGGGAAGCAGGGAGTCCCTGCTTGAGCAGAGTGGGAGGGAGAGGCAGGGGGGAGACAGGCAGTTTCTGCTGGAGCTCCAGCTAGGGGGCCAGCCAGAGGGAAGGGGCCAGCCCTGCTCTGGGGAGCCCAGCCCAGCCCAGTCCAGGGCTGCAAAGCATCTGGGATGCTGGGAAAGTCTGGTTTAAATTAAACTAAGAAGGGGTCTGGGACACACATTATATAAACTGGTTTGACCCAAATCATTTAAGTCTGATACTACATTCAGCCAAGTTTCTCTCAAATTTTTCAGCCATTTTCAAGCTGGTTTATGTGCACTGAATGTCTTTTCTGTCACAGCTTTAAACCAGTTCCTGATTACTTAAACTGGTTTAAGCTTACCGGAGGTGGTTCAAGCGCCTTCATTGAACACCTTCAAGATGAAACTGGATGCTTATCTTGCTGGGATCCTATGACCCCAGCTGACTTCCTGCCCTTTGGGCGGGGGGCTGGACTCGATGATCTTCCAAGGTCCCTTCCAGCCCTGATGTCTATGAAATCTATGAAATGTATAATGCCTGTCCCTAGCCTGTGACATCAGTTAGTCTCTGCAATAATTGCCTAACTTTATCTAACTAACCCCAGGCACCCTGATCCCAAGCTTCCACTTCATTGGCTGAGAGGCATAAAAGGATCTAATTAATGATCCCACAACCATACCTCCTGCCATGCATGTGTGGCATGGCAGGAAGTGCAATTGTGTGGATTGCCCATTGGATCCCATCATGCTTTTACCTGCACATCTGGAGGGACCCTGACTGATAGACATTTCAATGGTGGGTTTGAAAAATTAATCCACTTTATAAAGAGGAGGGACAATCTACATACTCATGAGCATGCATTAGCTGATCTAGTCTACATGTTTTGTCTTGATTTACAACAAAGGGAAACTAAACCACAACAATGTACACCTAAATGAAATATGTGGTAACTTCCACAAGATAGGGTAGAAAATGAAATAGTTAAACGAGATCCAGGTTTAACTATGGTAAGTTTTCCTGCTGTTCCCCCCAGTTAGAGGTAATTTTTGCAGCTGATCCACACAGTGTTGTAGATCTTTTGTTGTTGTGGTTGTCTTTCACTCTTTATATGCCTCCCCTCCCTCTCCCCTGACAAATGCAAAAACAGCATCAATGCAATTAGCATTTTCATAAGTGATTAACACTTGTACTGTCACTAGTGTATGAAAGTGTTGTTCTTGACTTAAGTAGATGCAAAGTTAGGCCAGTGTCTCAAGAGTTTTTGGAAATCCTACCCTAAATTAATTCAGCAATTATTATCATACATATTAGGATATACGATTGTGTGTTTATTGTGGCGTTATGTTGTAAGTATATGTTTTATTGTGTTATAAGGATTGTGTTTTTGTTATTGCCCTTATTAAGGCAAAGACCGTATGGCTATGTTTTTTTTCATTTCTCTTTCCTCATCTTTTGATATTTTTACATGGGAAAGGACCAACATGTGATGGTGGGACCAAAGTACTTTAATTACAAATATATCCTAAATAATGGTTATTTGCTGATGATATGTATTAGTTCTAATATATTACAATTCTATTAATATGTCCATTCAGAACAACATTTTAATGCAGTTTTCTGTCTTTTTAGCCAATGGAATTTTGCAAACACACAATTATCTATACAACAAATATAGTCCCAAATAAAATCCAGGGTTTATATAAATATTTGATATAACTAGGAAGTCCAGACCATGTCGATAGCATAGCTGACATAAGTAGGAACCTAAATCCCATAAAAAGAGGCTAAAATGGTATTATAAAAGATATTGAATTTTGGAAGATAATTGTTTAAGTACTATTCAGACTCAACATACAGGCATCTCCATTTTAAAATATCTGCAGTTAAATAATAGTATATAAAAATAGTCTTCAAATGAAAGAGACTTAGAGAAATAGGAGAACCTTATTACCACCTGTCAAAAGTAAGGAAAAAGCGAATATATTACTGGTAGCTGAAAAAAAGACTTCAGACAAGTTATTTGTGCTGATGCTGAAAGGCATTGGTAAAATGATTTTAATGCTAAATTACAACTTTCAAAAGGGAGGTTTATACAGAGGCCTGTGAAACTGGCATGTGTTCTTCACAGTCGGTCCAAATGTCACTCTCCAGGATGTACTGGATAACAAAGACTCCAGCTAGACCTCCTGGATCTTGCTTATCACAAGTGAATGGACATGGAATATGTTAGAAAGGCTTTGATTCTTTCTTACATATTACATTATACCCACAGAAGATAAGAGACACCTCATCTATTCTTAAAAGATTTTCACAGTTGTGGTCAATGATGATGGTAGATATAAGTCCATGTAGGTATGATAGCTTCTCCCACAAAATGGACCATTGCTGAAGACAGTAGTAGTATTATCTATATTACCTCTGCCTAACTGGTGGCCCATGAGCTGTTAATATTTGGCTCCAAGGCTCTCACTCAGCTGCCACTCCCCTCACTGCTCCAGCTGCAATAGTACCTGGAGTTTCTAGTTTTCCTCCTCTGTCCTTCAGCTGCTGTCTCCTACTTTTTCCCCAGGACGTGGGGTAGTATGGAAAGCTGAGGATGAGTCCAGAGCCATACTGGGGGAAGGGGGTGGTAGTACGTGCACATTAGAGTGGGGGTTGAGAGGGACTACACGGTGTATAGGTGAGGTGGGGGCAGTGTCCACATGGAGTACCTGGTGTGACCAATACAGTGTGCAGCCTCCAGGGCATGTGGCTCCTGGGGGTTTAGAAGTTGGACAGTAGGGCTGTGAGAAACAGCAGCATTTCATTTCAACTTCTGTTTTAGCATTTTGAAGGGTCAGTGTTTCATTTCTCTGTTTTGAAGCACTGTTTGTTTGTTTTTTCATTTCATCAAAACTGTTTTGCTGTTTCGACACTGTTTTGACGCATTTCGACATTTTGCCCATAGGCTATAATGGGAAATCATGAAAATGCCTATAAATCTGTCATTTTTTGCCTGATTCAGATAAAAATTGCAGGGATGGTAGCTTCTTCTGGGGGCATGTCTCCCACCGTGCTTCAAGGAGATAGATATATGGGTTTCTGTGAAATTGCACCTCAAACTGTTCAAAGCAAAACTCCTATCACTTGCTGGCACCATGCGCATAGATCTGGAGGTCTGCTTCCCCTGGGAGGAGTGTGGCACAGCCCCACAGTCCTCCTGGGTGGTGCAGGCACTTGGATCTGAGCATGAGATGACAGCAGGCTGCTGCTACCAGCTGGGGTACAAGCCAGTACTGGGTTCTCCATGGCGTGCAGCATGGGCTGTGCTGAGCAGACTCAGGTGCTGGTGCTGGCCCCAGCTGGCAGCAGCAGTATGCTATCATCTGCATGCTCTGCAACCGGTGTGCAGAGATTTAAAAAAAAAAAAGCCCCACACTCACCGGCTCTGGCAGTGGTGACTGGGGCCTCTGAGGGCTTGTGGCAGAGCCCTCCCCCATGCAGCATGGGGCAGCAGGGGGCAGTGGAGATCACCCCCCTAACTTGGCAATCGTGCGACAGTCGCCCCATGGCATGGGTGCAGCATGGCTCAGCAGGGTGCCGCATGCTCTCCTGGACCTGGGATGGATCCACATGTCAGCCAGAACTCCTGGTTCATTGTCCAGCTCTCTGATCATTCTCTAGCTGTTCCCAGGGAGCGTGACCCCTGAATCTGCATGAGGGGTTTCAGCAGACTGCTACTGCCAGCTGGGGAAATATCCCAGATCTGCCACCATCCCCAGCTGGCAGTGTCAGCCTCCTGTTATCCCACATTATCCAGGGGCCTGTACCCCCTGGGAACAGATGGGGAAGCAATCAGAGAGCTGATGGAAAGATTGGAGAGCTGGGGAATCAAACTGGGAACTGGGGGAATGTTCAGGGACCTGAGAACATTCCCTCAGCTCCTGATTTGATTCCCCAGCCCCTGCCTTGATTCCCCAGTGCCCAGTGCTGCAGGCTGGGGCCAGCAGCAACACTGCAGTCTTCCCAGCTCTCAGTGGGGGATGTGCTGAGCAGCTGCCATTGACCCCAGCCTGCAGCAGCAGCCTGCTGAAGCCTCACATGCAGATCACATGCCTGAGCCCCCTGAGAAGAGCTGGGGAAATGATCAGAGAGCTAAGGGAATCAAAC